CAGTGTGAAATAAAGCAAAGCAAAGTTAACCTTATTTTTTCATAGCACAGGGGTAAAGTAACAACACAGAATGAAATGTAAAAAAAAAATCGGCATTTAAGAGCTAAATAATTTGTGTAATCCTTTAAAGAAAACATGAACGTTCGAACGACATACATTTAAGTGTAATAGATAAGTAAAGGACAAAAAAGTTGGTCAGAAACACAAATAATGCATAGATAAAATAGAGACAATAATTTTATATATTCTGAGAGCAAGATTTTAATCATTTTATTCACAAATATAATAAAATGTACAAGGATTTTTCTTGGTTGCCTGCCAAGACACACTGACAATGGAAATAGTAACACTGCACATGTTGAAAGAATTAGTGGAGAGGTAGAGTGAGGGGAAAGTGGAGAGGAAACAGGAAAAGGGGTTTGGAGGAAAAGAAAGGGACATTTGTTACACGTTACCACGTTATGGGTTAAAATGTGGTCGTAGTAAAGTGCTGTTCTCTATCCGGGATACCCCATGAAAGTTTTCTACCTTCAACTCAACATGATGTTCTCTCCCTGCCATTAAACATGCCTTTTCTCTCAACCTTTAGTGTCTCTTCATTGATGGTTCTTATATGGCAACTAAACCTAAACTTAGTGAAAAGAATTGTTTGACATTACGCTAGTGTAATCATGCGGATAATAAATACCCGGGCAAGAAATAGCCCTATACGTACTCAAACCACGCTAGCTGTTTCCCCCTGTTTCCAGTCTTTCTGCTAAGTCAACCCCAACCTTCTTCCTAAGAGGTTTTATGGTGGAATAACAACTTCACACTACTTCCACTTTTGCTACTGAGATGACAGTAAATTGATTGACATGACCTCAAAAGGTCTATAAACTTAATGTTTAAAGGAATAGTATAAAAATTTGGGAAATACACTTACATGAGCCACTTGGCATCGTAGCACACTGTAGTAACTGCTTTTATTTTAGTGATACATAATTCACAACTTAGTTATAATTTACATTATAACTGGGCTATGTTTGAACTTCCTTGCAGCTGATGGCTCCAGGCTGAACAGGCTCCAGGAGTCACCGCTGGTTAAAAAAAATAGGTAGGCAGATTTTGATTTTGTTGCTGTTTCCAAGTTTCCCGTCTTTATGCTAAGCTAAGTTATCCAGCTGTTACCGGTAGCTTCATATTTAACATATGAAAGTGATATCAATAGCCTCATAGTTTGGCACTTCCCAAAATAAGAAATTGCTTTAAAAACACTGTCTCTCTACTCCATGTGTATTTTTCTCTCTCTTCCTTGGAGCCTTGCTGTTTTGCTATTTGTATCGCCAAACTGTGAAGCAATCATCAGCCGCAAATATGAAAACTGGAACACTGGAGACATTACTATTTATGGGTTAATAATGATGGTGATTGACTTTTTTTGCCACATAGCCACTTGTTTTGGCTCCCTGACTATGTGAACATGTCTGCGTGTGGGTGTGTGAGCACATTTTATGAAAAAAAAGTGAGTCATGGGTCCCTTGTGTGATTAGATGCAAAATGGCAAGGTCTACAGGTCTGCCAGGACATCATACACACACACACATGCACACACACTCACACACTGTTCACGCTGACTCAGTCCAACTGTACCAAACCGCAGCCCCCTTACAGTGTTCCAGTGGAACAAGCCTGTCAATGCAGATGGTGTCGTTCCTTTGCGAATAACAGACTGGGCATGTTAGCTAGCTACAGACAGAAACAGCTGAGAATGTATCAGGGGACACACTTTCCAGTACATTGAGTGCTTCTCAACAGTCCAACTATCAATCGTCTCAAACGAAGCAAACATTAAAGTTCGATTTCCTTCAATGCAGCCATCACATGCAATAATACACTTCTAGTGAGCTGTTACATTAGACCCAACAAAAATTTAATGAATTGCTTCTTCTCAGCCACCATCTGTCACTGTGTGTATGAAATATATGTATTTGTCTCCCTTCATTCCTCTATATTTATATACGAGCATGCCCTTGTAAGTTTGTATGTGTGTGTTTGTCTGTTCATGTGCACGGGTACTGTACATCAACTGCAAGCACATGTTCTTGTGTCTGATGTATGGTTGTGCAGCTGATGAGAGACATGTTTCAACACAAGGCGAGACTTGTGCCAGTCCAAACACCAGACTAGACTGGGGTGGAAAGCATGGAGAGGGGTCCTGAGTAGACCCAGACACATCCTCCCTCTCTGTGTATAACTGCTTTCAAGTCATTTGGTCTGGTACATGTGGTTTATATACAATACTGTGATCCAACTGTACCAGTGGTCCTGTGCAGCTCAGTGGGTAAAGCATGGCACTAATACACACTCCACTACATCCTCCAAGAAACACATGATAATGACAAAATATTAGGGACGTATGGGTGACAAATTAAAGGAAAAACCAACACCACGTGGCCATTGCAAACCTCCTGAACAGCTTCATTACTCTTTGGCATAGATTCTCCAAGTTTCTGGAACTCTACAGGAGGGATGAACATTATTTTTCCAAAGGATGTTCGTTTCCATTTGTGGATAATAATGAATAAGCTCTCTGATATCATGACATAAAGCATAAAACAACATGCATTTAATTTTCTATTTCAGTTAATTTACATAATTGATAAAGCCTGTCTTGTTCATCAATACCAACATTTGTAACATCTGGTTTGCAGCTGTAGTGGTGAGACGACGTCTTAATCGGGAACAAAGATTAAAGGTGCCCTGTGAAATTTTCTTGTAAACACACAAGTTATGTTTAAATTCAGTGTTCCTTACAAAAACGCATTTTGTGTATCCTTGGGCCCAACTGCATTTCCTGAAAACATTTGCTAAGCTGATTTTAAATACTGTATTGTTTAAATCTGTGTTTTCTAGCTTGCAGTCGTCATCTTCTTCACTGCCTTTGTTTGGCACTTTTCTAAATTTAGCAGAATAGCATGAACCACATGTATTGCCTGCTTGTGCATCATCGTGTGCGCGCACAATACAAAAAAAACAGGGACGCACCTATAAAAACATTACTCCATAGCGCTACTAGTGGTCAAAAACTCCACAGGGTACCTTCAATCTTAATTAAATCATGCAATACATTTGTATGGAAGCAAGTGTACTGCATTGTCTGCATTTGTTATATATTCAAGTTCTTCCTTTAATTTGTCACCCCTCTATAAGGTTATGGAAAAATTAATAATAAGCGCTGCAATGACAGAAGCTGTTACATTTTAAATGCCCTCTATTTCTAACATAATACCAATGATTACACGGTTCCTCCACAGGTGTCACTCATAATATGAAAGTGAATTTCATGTTTGAAACAAGCTGATAAAATTGTTCGCTTTCATTACAAACAAACTAAGCATTTTATCTCTACTTCCCTTTATAGTCAATGAACCATCTCCAAAACCATTTGAACCAGTACTGATACTGCTCAGATCTTTTCCACATCACAGCTGTATAGCAGGAACAGTCCAGCCCTTCTTAGAAAACTATCCATGGTCAGCCTTTATTATCCAAGACACATTCCAGCTGGGACCATAACAAACCCACTCAAGCCAAATCCGTCCCTGTGGTTCACCTCATGCCCATACCAGCCCAAATTAGCCCTTCCAGTCTAGTATTATTTCCCACCCCAGCTCCTTCTGGCCATTCTATGGTGACCCAACGAAGCCTCCAAGAAAAACGGTCTCCTTGTGTCTGTAAACATTAAGCCGAAAGACCTCAGGGTTTCGTTCAGCTACTTCCTACGGGGTACTGCTCTAAATACCATGCAGTTTGCTGCCACCGTCATCTGTACTGAACCAGAATAAAGTTTGGTCTGGACATGAAATGTGGTAGCAACGTGTCTCTCATTTTGGACCATGGAAAAAATAAGCATGTGGGAAGAATCAGAAGCCTTTTTGAAAAGATTTGTTTGTCATATATGTGCAACTGTGAATGATGCTCATATCATGGCCCTGGGGGTGGCAGTCTATCCGGGGCTTATTGTCATGAAATCTTGTACAGACATTCATGGTTCCAAGACAGTGTATCCTAATGACTTTGATGATCCAGGAAAAGTACTTCAGCATTTATAATATTTTTGTTAATGACAAAATATCTGTCTAACTAATGACATTTCTATCAGCCACAACTGTACTTTGCTAAACTTTCGCTAATGTTAGCATGTGAGCACATGAAACTAAGATGGTAAAGATTATACACGCTTAACATCAGCTGATTAGCATTGCCTTTGTAAACATTTTAGCATGCAGATGTTAGCATTTGACTAAAAGCAATGTTGTGCCTATACACCTCACAGAGCTGCTAGCATGGCTGTATACTTTTATTCTTTCAGGATTCTACCTTGCAAATACTACAAAGATTATAATACCAGCATTTTAACATTTTCACATACTTTCATCATCTAAAAGTCTCAAACTAAAGTTTTTCTACGTAACATATTTCTCAAACTCTAGCTGAGATTGGGCATCACTTGACAAATCTTATGTCTTCATTGTCTGAAATCCGAATGAAACAGAACCCCCAGGATGAATAAGTGAGTTACTTCTCCATGTCAAAGAGATCTCATCAATCATATTCTAGCCTTCAGCACTTTATGTAGTGCCATATTTGGCTGAGAGTTTTATCAGTTTG